AAAATCCTCTTGGAGCTTCGGGAATTCTTCAGTTTAAGGAATGTCAGGAAGGGAAACGTCCGGATGTTCGTTACCTGCGGAAGAACTCGGAAAACCCAAATCCCTGTGGGAATCCAGGGATGCCCAGCAGGAGATTATGGGATGCCTTTTCCATAAAATTGCCGTCAAAAACTATGGAGAACGTGGTTCCATAGAGCTAGGGGAGGTTCCTCCATCAAAAAACCTGGATTTTCCAGGGGAGGTTCCTCCATCAAAAAACCTGGATTTTCCAGGGAAGACCACTTTGGCACTGCATGATTATTTTGGGATGCTTGAGCACCGCACGGATCCCGCCGGAATCTCCTCTCTGAGCGTTTTCCTGGGATGGCAGCGTGGGAATGATTCCTGTGGATCCATCAGTGGAAGCCTGGGGTCGTACCCCTTGGGAATGAGGGCTCTGGGTGCTCTCCCAACTCCTGTGTCTCTTTCCAAGGCTGGGAATTTTATCCAGAGCCTCACCTGGAGCTTCCAGAAATCCTTGGGAGCCCTCAGCTCCCAGGATTTGCTCGGCCTTCCTTGAGAGTTCTTCCTTGGAATGTTTGGGGCCGTTGTGCCCCGGCTGTGATGTCAGAGCTGCTCCCATGGGAACAGCTCCAGGGCCTGGTGTGGACACAGAGTGACCGGAGCCACAGCAGCTCCGACCCCGGATTCCCATGGATCAGCCCGAATAGAGGTTGGAATGTTGGGATTGGGAGTGCTCCAGACTCTGGGATGTGTTTGTGTCAGTCAGGATTGGACCACGAGGAATTGGGATTTTGGGGTTTCCTCACACTCCGCAGCGTTATTTGGGAGATTCCTGCAGGAATTCCCGCTGGAAGTTTGGAGTTTGGTGGGAAAACGAAACTGGAGACGCTCCTTTTCCAGTGGAAATCCACCTAAAATAAAATCCATCGAAAATCATGTGGGAAGTCTTAAGGAGAGGGGAGAATTCCACTCTTAAATTGCCCAACACACCCAAAACTGATGGAATTTAGGCAGAGTTGTATTGGATCCAATGGATCAGAACATCCTGTCCTCTTGGAAGAACATTCCCAATGGAATTCCTGGAATTCCCGCCCTGCTGGATCCAGTAACTCCTTGCCGTGTCTTTTTTTAGTTGTGCCTCCAGCTCCATTTGGGGAGGATTTTCCCAGGTGGAAGGATTAGATCTGGCGGGATGTCAGAGACATCCCGAAGGATCCGGCAGATTTATGGAATGATTCCGGGGGGTTTGGAGCACTGAACCCAGACGCAAAACCACCCGGAGAGATGGAGCAGAGCCCCATGGCAATGATCCTGCTGTGCGCCCTGTGCATTCCAGCGGCGCTTCCCTCGGAGCCGGAGCCTCCCGCGGGATCGGGATCGGGCTCGGAGCTTCCCGCGGGATCGGAGCCCATCCCGCTGGGGCTGAAGGCCATGGTGGTGGTGAACTCCACGCCCTGCAGCGTCACCTGCGGGCTGGGCGTGAAGGAGGAGCGGCTGTGCGAGGTCAGCCCAGCCGGGGAGCGCCAGAATTGCTCCCTGGTGCGTTCCCGCTGCCTTAGCCATTGGATCTGCGGCCTCCGGCACCTCAGCGTTCCCGAGGGAAATCCCATCCGCCTCACCTGCCTCTCCCCGGACGCCGCCAGCCTGGAGGGACCAAATTTCGGCTACACCTGGAGGTTCGCCCACGGGCTCATCACCACCAACGACCTCCTGTTCCATCCTTTCCACAATCCCAACCC